GCCGCGACACTCTCGGATGAGGAATGAAGGTGCGTGGAGGATGGTGTTTGATAGGAAGTTACGGAACGGCCTCTTTCTGACGAGGTTATGTCCATGGACAAGACACTTTGTCCTAATTGCTCTGGCGTGCGATGGGTCACCCGTATGTTGTTCAGTGATATAGCCACCAGAGGAGACCCAGCCTCAAAATGACTCTGGCTGTTGACGGGATGATGAACCAAGCAAAAAATGTAATTTGTCACTTTTCCTCAGTATTTCAAAGTGAATCTAGTTTAAGTAAATCCTAGTGCAGCAAGAAAATAAATAAAATGTTATTCAGTTGAACATGTGATCGGCGCTGCTGGAAGATGCATGATGATGAACACTAAAGTTCGTAGATACGACTAAAAATTTCTCTCATACTTTGTATCTGCAGAAATCTGTCCCTTTTTACAAAGGCGGGTTTCTTCTAAATATAAAATCGACTACAGAGTTCGTGTATACTAGAACGATAGTATCATCTTTATACTGATCACAATAAACGCAGTTCAATAATCTTGGTGAAATAGAGGTCAGAATTCAATGCCCAAGGTGAAAAAGAGGTCAGAATTTAATACTGTATGTGGCGTAGAGGTCACAGTTCAATACCCAAGGTGAAGTAGAGATCACAGTTCAATGATCTAGGTTACTTAGAGGTCACAGTTTAATACTCTAGCTTACTTAGAAGTCACAGTTCCATACTTTAGGTGACTTAGAGGTCACAGTTTAATACTCTAGGTTACTTAGAGGTCACATTTCAATACTCAAGTTGACTTTGAGGTCACAGTTCCATACTTTAGGTGACTTAGAGGTCACAGTTTAATACTCTAGGTTACTTAGAGGTCACATTTCAATACTCAAGTTGACTTTGAGGTCACATTTCAATACTTTAGGTGACTTAGAGGTCACAGTTTAATACTCTAGGTTACTTAGAGGTCACCTTTCAATACTCAAGTTGACTTTGAGGTCACATTTCAATACTCTAGGTGACTTAGAGGTCACATTTCAATACTCAAGTTGACTTAGTGGTCACATTTCAATACTCTAGGTGACTTAGAGGTCACAGTTCAATACTCAAGTTGATTTAGAGGTCACATTTCAATACTCTAGTTGAATTAGAGGTCACAGTTCAATACTCTAGGTGACATAGAGGTCAGAATGTTTAGTGTAGATTAGCATATGAATCTTATATCTATGTAGTATATATTAGTACCTACAAAGTAATGAAACACCAAATAAAGTATACAGCGATTTGTCGCTTGTTATACAGTAATCAAGAAATCGATGTCCGTGATATCAAGAAAAAAACAAGGCTTCAAAAGTACACGTGAAATCGGATATTAGAGCTGTTCTTTTATATCAGTGATTAAATGCCCAACAATAGATACAGGTATACCATGCTAGGTAATTCTGATTAATGTAATATATATAAAGAAATTCCATTAACACAATTCTTTCAATGAAACAGGAATCTAATCACAGTGTTCGTCAACCTATATTAACTATTGTTGTTCGGTTGTATAAAAAACACTTTCCATCTGAAATATCATCAGCACTGAAAAGTCATTAGAGATCCATTGTGCCGTCGCTGAACCTCGATGAATGAGTCGTGAATTCTATCAATTGATTAAAAGCCTTATATTGAGCGAGTATTGAGTGACGCCCTATATTATATTACAGACTACAAATCATTTTCATGAAATTGAAAATATGACTTCCTTCTACCCGTTCTGTACTTAGGGTCTCCAAATAGCGATTTTTATTATTTGTTGGTTGAATGAAGAGCTTTTTTTAAAATAGATATAATGTCTTTTGATAATATCTACCGAAAAGTACATTCTCTAATTGTTTCATGTCAAATACGTGTTATAACTGAACTTATCAGGTGAATCATCACCATCATCATCGTCGTCGTCGTCTTCGTCGTCGTCGTCGCCCATCTCGTTGAAGTACGTATTAATTGGCTAAACATGATCGATGTGAATACGTTCTCAAATCCACAAAAAACGGCCTTCCGTTGTCGCTTTAATGTCCGGTCATTCACACCTAGATATTGACCTCTGGAAAATGTCATCGCGACGCTGTATTTCTGTTTACCATAGGTAAGCATGAGATTTGGTCTAACTGTTTGGACTTTTGATGCGGAGAAAAGATAAATATTTGTTACCTCTAACCTTGTCTAGAATTAATTGTTTTGTGCTTTTTATTTGTTTGCTGTATATTGTGAATAATCTGTTGTCACCATCGGCCTTGGTAATTATCATTAAAAACAACGTTATGTGATTAATATCAGGAACCGACATTTATAATAACGTCTACCAAGTCAACACACGGGTTTTCATTTGATTATATTGATTGTTAATGAAAGAAGGACAATATATTATTGTGTGAACACGGATGAACAGAGTGCTGGAGAACCATAGAGACTATATATGTAGGCCAAAACAGGGGGAAAATGCTGGAGAACCATAGAGACTATATCTGTAGGACAAAACAGGGAGAAAGTGCTGGAGAACCATACAGACTATATCTGTTGGCCAAAAACAGGGGAAAAGTGCTGGAGAACCATAGAGTACATCTGTAGAACAAAACAGGGGAAAAGTGCTGGAGAACCATAGAGTACATCTGTAGGACAAAACAGTAGAAAAGCGCTGGAGAACCATAGAGACTATATATGTAGGCCAGGGGGAAAACAGGGAACCATAGGAATAGTGACAAAACTGCTGGAGAACCATAGTAGAACAAAACAGGGGAAAAGTGCTGGAGAACCATAGAGTACATCTGTAGGACAAAACAGTAGAAAAGCGCTGGAGAACCATAGAGACTATGTCTGCAGGCCATAACAGGGGGAAAATGCTGGAGAACCATAGAGACTATATCTGTAGGACAAAACAGGGAGAAAGTGCTGGAGAACCATAGAGTACATCTGTAGAACAAAACAGGGGAAAAGTGCTGGAGAACCATAGAGACTATATATGTAGGCCAAAACAGGGGGAAAGTGCTGGAGAGACTCTATCTGTAGGACAAAACAGTGGAAAAGCGCTGGAGAACCATAGAGACTATATCTATAGGCCAAAACAGTGGAAAAGTGCTGGAGAACCATAGAGTACATCTGTAGAACAAAACAGGGAGAAATGCTGGAGAACCATACAGACTATATCTGTTGGCCAAAACAGGGGGAAAGTGCTGGAGAACCATAGAGTACATCTGTAGAACAAAACAGGGGAAAAGTGCTGGAGAACCATAGAGACTATATATGTAGGCCAAAACAGGGGGAAAATGCTGGAGAACCATAGAGACTATATCTGTAGGACAAAACGGGGGAAAAGCGCTGGAAAACCATAGAGACTATATCTATAGGCCAAAACAGTGGAAAAGTGCTGGAGAACCATAGAGTACATCTGTAGAACAAAACAGGGAGAAAGTGCTGGAGAACCATACAGACTATATCTGTTGGCCAAAACAGGGGGAAAGTGCTGGAGAACCATAGAGTACATCTGTAGAACAAAACAGGGGAAAAGTGCTGGAGAACCATAGAGACTATGTATGTAGGCCAAAACAGGGGGAAAATGCTGGAGAACCATAGAGACTATATCTGTAGGACAAAACAGGGAGAAAGTGCTGGAGAACCATACAGACTATATCTGTTGGCTAAAACGGGGAAAGTGCTGGAGAACCATAGAGTACATCTGTAGAACAAAACAGGGAAAAGTGCTGGAGAACCATAGAGACTCTATCTGTAGGACAAAACAGTGGAGACTTTATCTGTAGGACAAAACGGGGGGGGGGGGGGGGGGGGGGAAATGCTGGAGAAACCACAGAGAATATAGATGTAGAACAAAAATGACAAAAGAAAATCGAAAAATGATCGAAAAAGATTATCTTCTGGGTTTGTACATGATAACAGAAAAATCATCAGTAAGGGAAAACGGGACATTACCTTGCCTGTACTATCGTTATAATAATTATAAATACCCGGAGACTTCATTCATTCCAATCACGTTTGTTACGTAATGTCATAACAAAAACAGAAATAAGTAAATGATGAAATCTTGACCTTTGTTCTGACGATGTTTATATTTGCTCATACAACGCTCCGTTTGATTCTCGGCAACTTTGCTTGACTAATAAATAGAATTTTTAAAAAAAATGACATTTGACGTGTTGATATTGAGCCATGCACACCTTCGTTTGGTTACCAGTCACACCTGGAACAGAACCCGGGTCTCGTCGATTTGGAACCGTTTAAGCTTGCTTCATGATTAAGATTATTCTTTATCCTCAGACAGATATAAGCATTCTCCTGTTAAAATCTATCTTTATTTTCGATATAAAAAAAATACACTTAAAATGCATGTACTTCCGACAGCAATGCAATGAAATATGATATCAACATAAAAGAAAATGCATTTTAATAGAATTACAAAAAAAACTTTATTTCTAGAGAGAAAGTACAAAGATAAAAATCCATACAAATGATGTTTAAGTCATTAAAATATTGAACTAAAACTCTAAGAGAAAGTTTCACCATTCCATTTCACATGGAAATGTTTTCTGACCGTCTGGGTCAGTCAGTTGTTCCATAAGCACTACAAGTTCAGAGCAAAGAAACATGCTCTAAGGATTTCAGAAAGTCGATGATGAGAAATTTCCTTCCCTGCAGCCCGTGTTAATTTTACGCATACAAGAATCCTCAGGAAAATCAAGCTGTCATGTCTTAAACCGTTAGAAAACATGCAGAAATACAGTGAGATATCACAGTAAACGGTTCGGTAGAACTGCAATGATGTGTTTCCTAAATCATGTAGAAACGGCTATCGATACTCCCTCGCCTTGATGGCTGTACTTATCTCCCATATAAACTGATGTTAGAGAGAACCAGACTTTACATCACAGTGGTCACCGACAACTCAAGTCAACTCCATGTTCATTATGAAGAATTAGAATATGTTGCCTGGTGTGGCAAATGGTATATTTTCTCTGCATCTAGTATACAAATTATTTTGTTTCTGAAACAGAAATTGTTTTGAATATCAATTATTACATCAAAATCGAAAATGAGTAAACGGTCTGCATGATTTAGATACAAGTTAAATATAGTATAGAGATTAATATTTAAAAGTGGTATACGACCGTATCTATATGAACGTGTTTTATTATATCAAATACGTATAAAAATTACCGAAATGTTTGAATTACATTAAAGTCTAGGTAGCATTTAATATATTAACACTTATACATATAACGTCGTAACGAAGTATTGTAAAACAACTAATTAATTCTTAATCATTATCTAAACTAAAGCTTGCTTTTCTTTCATGCGTTCATTAGTCAGTGCATGCTTTCGTGCGTACGTTAGTTTGTGAGTGTTTTCGTGCTTTCATTAGTCAGTGCGTGCTTTCGCGCGTACGTTAGTTTGTGAGTGTTTTCGTGCTTTCATTAGTCAGTGCATGCTTTCGTGCGTACGTTAGTTTGTGAGTGTTTTCGTGCTTTCGTTAGTCAGTGCGTGCTTTCGCGCGTACGTTAGTTTGTTAGTGTTTTCGTGCTTTCACTAGTCAGTGGGTGTGTTCGTTAGTCATTGCGTGCTTTCGTGCGTTCGTTACTCAGTGTGGTCTTTCGTGCGTTCGTTAGTAAGTGCGTGCTTTCGTGCGTTCGTTAGTTAGTGCGTGCTTTCGTTAGTTAGTGCGTGCTTTCGTGCGTTCGTGGAGTTGAAACAACTATATCATGACTTTGTTAAACTAAACCCCATAGCATGACATGACGCCAGAACACGTTAGCGTAACTGACACGCATGACACACTAGAGTTCGGTAGATGTATTCTCAGGACGCACTCTTGTCAAGTCAAACCAATAATTCAGATAAGCTATCGTCTGATTTACCAGAATTGTAAAATGTAGGTCCGTGCTACTTTGTCTAATACAAAACCTCGCGTTGAATCACGAGAACGGCCAATTTAAAATACATAATCATGAGAGTATTGTGAACACTTAAATAGACAAGGGGACTTATTACGCTTTTATTAATTCGAAGAATAAATTGTTAGCGGAGCAATTGTGAATTTCTGATAGACGTCATAAGTTACTTAACATTTGTGAAATGGTATTAATTATAATAAGTTATATCTGTATATATATATATATATATATATATATATATATATATATATAAGAAAACGTTATTGTATATACATCAAAAGCTGTGTCGTTAATATAAATTGATTTAACATAAAAAAAAAAGACATTAATACGTACCGAGTTTTTGTTAAACGTTAAACTCCCGTCCCCAGACGCCGGTCCACTTATTGTAGTCCAGCACCGGTTTGATCATTTTGTTGTTACTGGCTCTGATCCTTGGTGATGTGTAGTTGTCACCCAATCCGTCGCGAACGGTATCTAGGATGTCCATAGCACTTTGGAGACGATACGACAGGACTAACTGCTTTTCCCGTGGGATAACACTAGGTAAACTTTTCGCACGAGTCAAGTCTTGGTCAACAGGTAAAGAAGGTGAAGAGGCAAGGCTTCCAGATCGACCAAACTTCTTAAAACGTGTGGAAGTTGCAGGCAAAGATGCTCGTCTCGACATATTTGCTGAACGAGGAGGGAATACAAATGACTGCTCTATCAGAGGGGAATTGTTGGAGGAGCTTTGAGAACTTGCATCACTCTCCTCACGTTCCGAGTCAAGTTTTACTGGAAGTTCATTGTGTGAATCCCGATCTTCGCTAGAAAGTACATTGCGCGATTCCGTTTTGTTACGAAGTTCAACTTTCGAAACGGGTGTCTTGTTCCTCCGTAGGGTCGGCCTTTGTTCTGGATACTTCTTACAGAGATAATTATACACTGTATCCTCATACCCTTTCATAATGGCATATTGTGCCTCTGGTGACATCGTTGTGGAAAAGCGGGGCTCCTTGGGTAGTTCTATAATTAATTCTTCATCTTCTTCCACAACTGGATTATTTTTTTGCCTCTTACTATGATTTTTGAAAGCCATCTTTGCTTTAAGAATCGTCGAGAACTTGCCCATTCCTTTCATTGATGCCTTTCGCACAAGAGCGGTGCCGTTGCTAATTGATGTCCTTCGCCCAGTCTTTGTATCCCGTGGAGAACCTAACTGGTTGTCCTCTTTGAATGTTACATTACCAGATTCTCGGTTAACTGTTTTCGGCGACAGGGGATAGGCCTGTTTGGAGGTTTTAAGAAGATGTTCCTCGGCAATGGGAGGAAACATCCCCACGGTTGTGGTTTTATTCCGAGGAGAGACATTTTTCGGTTTAATTATATGTTGTTGATTCTTGTCGATAGAGATCGAGAGTTTTGGAGTATTTTTCCGTCCCTCTGGCGATGAGAGACCATTTGTCATACCCGTATCCTGAATCATGACTACCTCACTCAGCAGTTATATGGATGCTGTGGCTAACTGCCACCTTTTCAATCACAAAATCATCCAGAAGTTGTAATACCTCTATACAGTGATATGGTCAATAGTTGTCCGGTCTATACACCTTGTAGCTCAAAGTCAGACTGGTATATCCCTTGTCAAGTGGTTGTTACGTATCCTTACCTGTAATCCGTTAATTCTCTAATTACATCGTTCGACTTTACATAAAGCACACAGTCCTACAGTAGTGTCCGTCTCGATAGGCATGTGTACATATATATACACCCTTTCCCGTCGTGATGTCTCATTATTATTATGAGTAAACACACTATTGATTCTGCCCGTTGATTGGAGGCGACAGGAGAAATGGATTCCAAACAAATTTTATATGTGTGTATTAACACTGGGACTGGTAACGGCAGGGGTTTAACATTGATTCTGTACCACTCACGGGTATGGCCTGCTGATATGATGGGTAGCAGTATCCTCTGATAGCAATTACAGTTATCTGTCGTCTCTCCTATAAACGTCAATAATCTCAGTAATTTCCTATCACAACTAAGCGACAAGATTGCTGCATAAAATTGACATGTCATCACGATTAATATCATCTTATACGAATATATAAGTTTTCATTGTACATAAATTTGTATTTTTACTACTAATAACTGTTTATGATTTAGACTAAATCACTACAACATCGCTCAAGAAATTGAACTAGTATTCTAATAAGATTACATTACGAACATTTTTTCTCTATTCGTTATCTGTTTTAGATACTACTAGATATAATAACCCTCAGGGAACACAAGAACACTAAAGAAATTCATTTCACATCTCAAACAAGCTTTCTTTGTAATTGAATATAAACACTAAGGTGTAAGGGATTAAACTAAGAATTCATTGGTTGGCAAATTGTGATTTGAATAATACAAAATTATAGTTACTAATGTATGTATCATGATTTATTCTAAATACGTGATCAAGGTTAGGAGACATGGTTAGGCCAAGATAGCCAGCACGATTCACTTTATTTATATCAAATGTGAAGAATGTTGTCAAACGTAAACCATTTGATTCGGAATTTCACTAATTTAACAAAAAAAATGGTTAAACAAATACCTTTATCATGATCTCTCAATCATAACACATATGGTATCCACATGACAGATTATGACACATTTCTATCACTTAATTACAAAAATTCGCCCAACTTTCTTAATCAGTTTACTTGTCCAGATATTTGGTCGTTATTGTGTATAATTTGAACCCATGATTTGATTTTTTTTGTAATGATATAAAAGTATTATGGTAACCTTACAGAATTGATCCTCCACTTATAAGGCTGCCCACGTTATGGTTGATTACACTGATCTGCTATGACGTAATTTTTATTTTGATCATGTGATTATCGTCTAATCAGTGTGCTAAGAGATTGTACAAATACACACAAGGAGAATACAGCACCACTTCATGATTTAGAGTGAGATACAGTAAAGCGAAACAATGATTTAAACTGCATCATACAGCTGTTTATTCCTTATAGTACTCGTCAGTGATGCTACATCATACAGCTGTTTCGTCCTTACAGTACTCGTCAGTGATGCTACATCATACAGCTGTTTCGTCCTTATAGTACTCGTCAGTGATGCTACATCATACAGCTGTTTCGTCCTTATAGTACTCGTCAGTGATGCTACATCATACAGCTGTTTCGTCCTTATAGTACTCGTCAGTGATGCTACATCATACAGCTGTTTCGTCCTTACAGTACTCGTCAGTGATGCTACATCATACAGCTGTTTCGTCCTTATAGTACTCGTCAGTGATGCTACATCATACAGCTGTTTCGTCCTTATAGTACTCGTCAGTGATGCTACATCATACAGCTGTTTCGTCCTTATAGTACTCGTCAGTGATGCTACATCATACAGCTGTTTCGTCCTTATAGTACTCGTCAGTGATGCTACATCATACAGCTGTTTCGTCCTTACAGTACTCGTCAGTGATGCTACATCATACAGCTGTTTCGTCCTTACAGTACTCGTCAGTGATGCTACATCATACAGCTGTTTCGTCCTTACAGTACTTGTCAGTGATGCTACATCATACAGCTGTTTCGTCCTTACAGTACTCGTCAGTGATGCTACATCATACAGCTGTTTCGTCCTTATAGTACTCGTCAGTGATGCTACATCATACAGCTGTTTCGTCCTTACAGTACTCGTCAGTGATGCTGCATCATACAGCTGTTTCGTCCTTATAGTACTCGTCAGTGATGCTACATCATACAGCTGTTTCGTCCTTTTAGTACTCGTCAGTGATGCTACATCATACAGCTGTTTCGTCCTTATAGTACTCGTCAGTGATGCTAAGAGCCTGAAATTTGAAGCCTAGGAGGTGACTAAGAAAATCCAAAGTGATCAAAAGGAAAGTCAAAATCTAGACGGGGAGGTGCAGCACCCCCATAATTAGATTCATTTAGTAAATACAATTACAAACAAAGAGATAATGCTGTCATGTAGATGTCTGTCATAATGGGGAATTCGCTGGTAATCCAAACAATTATGTACAAGATTCCTACCCTCAGTACGGAAGCTGTTCAACATATCATTCTCAGTGGGCTTCAGTTACAAACTATATATATATATATATATAACCAAAAACTATAGGATATATTTCGCGATATTTTCTTCATGTTGATAACATCACAAGAATAGACCTTCTTAACACAATCAGTGGAATATTTCAGTGTAAAGTTTTAAATCTATCTTCTGTTGGTTGTGTTATAAGAACGATTTGTCTTTTAATTGCCTGTTATTATATTCCTGTATTAGACGAAATTGTGTGATTATATATCGGAAGTAAACGTTAGCATGACGTAAGAAACAAAAAATATGAATCCAGTAATAATGTTGAATAGTCTAAAAGTAAATAATACCATTGTTTTGACTTCAGTGACTCTTCAATAGACTTAAAGACTAAAACCTGTTGACGTTCTAGATGCTGCAGAACAAAGATATGATACTATGAACATTGAAGAATATTGCTATTTCATAAGTAACATACAATTCATTTTCATAAAAATACAGTTTGATAGTCAAATTGTTACTGGGCTTTGCCCAGATGACGGGAAAATCGCCATTAAATATTTCTGTCAACATGCTGTTTGACTTGGACGTTCGTGGCTAAGGTGGTTTACATACCTACTGACAGACTGATTAGAGTTCTGCTGAACATATTTTCTGACCATGTTTTAAGACATGTTTCGGAGAGACAATGTCACAAGTATCAAATACTGACATCAGTTTAGCCTTTAATTGTCTACATTGTCATCGACAATCTGATTCCTTCACTTCCCTAGTTATACTCAGAAAAACTTCCTGATAATTTTATTCCAAGTTCATTGAATGTTCTATTTCCCAGAAATGGATAAATCTGATAACATGTAATTTTCTAATCGGCGTTAGTCAGGACGAAAAAAACATTTTTCTGTTGATATCACGTTGTGAGTAATTGCTGATATTCATGAAGTATAAAACAGCCTGGAATTCCATTATATTTTATCATGCTGCCAATATGCTGGTCTTTTTGGAAGCATTCAAATGTATCGAATGCACTAATGGAAAAGCAATATTCAAAACAAAGAACTGCATGACTAAGGCCCGAATTAATTTTAGCTTTGTTTGTTCGCGACTATGCTTTGACCCAGTTATGAAGTAAATCAACATGGACACTAAAAGTATTAGAAACAAAACAGATCGATAATGTCAATAAGTTATAAAATATATTTCTATATAAATCTCTATGTCATTGTACATCACTCTATGACGAATTGGCAGACTACCATCTTTTACAATCGATCTGTCAATATGGTAACGAGGTTTCCTGTCTGTCAATGTTTGTTTGTGTGACAACAACAGAGTTGCTAAATCAGTGGGTCCACGATACTTTAACGACCCAGATTACTGCTGCAGACAAATATATCGGCGATAGGATTATCATGTAAGGTCAATGTGGATTCAGGGAAGAGAGAATATATGTCTGGCGTATGACTCGGAGCAATGTTATCGTGCAACAAAGGGTAAATAATGTACATATAGTACAATAGTTCGTTTTGGTATCAGTTGAATAATAGTTCTATGCCAGAAAACATCCTGAATTCTTTTTAAAGAACCTGTGTTGTTTTTACACATAGATTTTGGCCTTAAGTAAAGTTTATGACATTTATTTTTCTTTGTGGTCATTTTTGAAGTATTCCAGGCATACAAAATGATAAAGCATGGTTAATGCGTACCTGTAGTCCATATGCCTATCTATGTCTACCCCTCCAGAACCGTGCACTTTTACGATCATTACAATTGATAGTAAGTACATCTTCAATATCCTGTATACAAATGGATGAAGCTCATCAACTGGCAAACTTGTCACCAAATGAAATGGTTAATTGCTCCATATGTAATAAAATGTTGATGACACTATCGCTAACGGTTATTTATCTGTAGAATTGTCATCATCTGAAGTGGCAAACAGTCAGAGCTAATGACTTCATAGGTAAGCTTACCTGTCGCGGAGAGCACCTGTAGCCGTGGGTGGTGTAACGAGCCCATACA